TCGTATTGAAGACCCAGATGTGGCTGAGCAGGCTGTCCTGGACGAATGTTGAGGCCACCATAGGTGCTAGCTCCATTCCCCAAGTTCTGATGGTAATCGAGGTCCAGCGATGGTCGTCTATCTGGGCCACTCAAGGGTTTCTCTGCACGGAGCACAACAGATCCACGATCGTTCTCACCTGTTTCACGCCTCACGCGGTCCGGAGTCTGAAAAACAGTCAATCTTAGGGTGAACGCGGAAAATAGTGTAAATTCTTTTGTATTTCGGCTTCAAGTGTTGAGAGTAAAGGTTAAGTGCCCTTTTTCGTTTAGATAATGATTTTTCTCAAATACTGTTCGTTGTAGCTTCAACAAATTGTGCAATTGTATTTGTACATGTTTCCTTTTATTTTGTTAGAAAAGGTAGTAATCATTTTTGGTGGAGTCACCTGTATTAAAGTGCTTCTTTGAAATGAAAAAAAAAAAAAACTAGTGCTCTCTGAACTTTCAGGTTCAATATAAGTGTAGTTACGGTGGCCACGAAGTAAACAAAATATTGCAGTTAAATTGACCACAATGTAAAGAAGAGTTATTCTTTCTTCCTTGTTGTTCATTTCAACAAGGATTATCAAGGGCTTTCCTAAGAACCCCGTATGAAAGAAGAGATGTGTACTCACGTAGGATTCTTCTACATCCTCGAGTTGAACTTGTTGGGCAGCAGTGTATGCGACTGCGCAGAGCAGAGCCAGTGTAAGGCCGATGAACTTCATGGCGGAGTACTTCAAAAGTCCTCGAAGTGCAGAACACAAGCTTCCTAATGCTCTCGAGTGAAGCTGACTGGTGTGAATGTCACATTTGACAGAAGCTTGGTCTTATATACTGAATTCTCATCGTGAGGTATCTACCAGGGGGTTCACCGTCGAGTTCTTATCCTCCTCTGTCTCTCTCTCTCTTTGTGCATTGGAGTTGTCTTGGTTCCGGGGAATTCCTCGCGTCGGGTCAGAAAGGGTCATTAGACCGAGTCAGCATGCACGCATTTGACGTAGCTGTGTAGTTCGAATCTGCGATCCGTTTGATCGAGTTTAGAACAATAGCTTTGGATCAGGTATGTGAGAACTAAACTTGAGTTGCTTTTTTTATACATATTGTATTGATATCTCAAATAGTTTCTAACGAATTTTACCCCAGGGATCACTTGATGAGACCCTTCTTAAATTAAGCTTTTCTCATGTTTTGAAAATTCTAAAATTATAATTTCCTTCTTCCATAGTTTCTAGAAATCAGCTTCCAACATTTTCTGTATCCACGTTTGCTGTATACCTGTGTTTCATCATTCGTGGGTGACAAGCGTAGCAAATTGCTCGTTTCAAACGATTCTAGAATCGTAACACGGTAATAGCATTCGCAGTATTTTTCAACGTGAAACGTTTTGTACGCCCGTTTGGAAAAAAATATCGTTTTATTTTCGATGAATGCGACGCTTTATGAACACGAGGAAACAATGGAGTCTGTAAAGTGGTTGTTCCCTGTCATAGTCGGCCTTCGTAGTTCGCAGAACGTACGTTCTGTCATTCTTTGCGAATAGGCACTGGAATTACTACAATTTGAATGTTTCTCAATTTTTATTTAATTATAGATGAATTGCATAATTTTTCTTTGAATTCGATAGGGACCCGTACAGAGTAGAACTTGTCAATATAACCTAAGGGAAAAGCTTTCTTATTGTTAGTTAATGAATATTACACGGTACGTTTAATCTTGAATGTTTATTAAAAATACAAACTTGGAAACTTAACTACAACTAATTTTAATCTATTAAAATAAACCATCTTGACAATTTTCAAACGTAATTTGAAAATTCCACCAAGAGGAAAAATGTGGTGTGGAATTAAGGAATCCCTTAAACTCGAAGAGCAAGAACTCTCGGGGAAACACAATTTCTATTTGCATAATTGTCTTCGAGCGAGCGAAACGTGATACTCGGCCGACTGTTTTGACGATTGTGTGTCAAGACGGAGATAACGATTAATCATCTCGACGCTAGTGCGTCCCCGTGGAACACATCTGTCACTTGAAGACATTACTCGAGTTTTTCCCCGCTAAGTTGACTCATTCTCTTGACTTTCCATTCTTTGCCATTCTAACGTTGACACTGCAGGCAGGCGTGACTCAATAGGTCAATTTTCTCCGATTTATAACCCTTAGCGAATTTTTCGTATGTGGAGTAAATAAACGTTTCACTTGTGCTGGAGTATCTATTAAAGATAATATCTTATCTTTGCTTGTATTTCTTCTTCTCTGCGTTTGTGTTAATTAATGTAAAATAAAATTTTCTGATTCGTAGTTTCGTTTTCTAAGGAAATTAATCTTAAGTATCCATTGGATGCGCATACTGTACGACTCGAGTAATGCGTCTCTTACTAACTACTTCTATTTACATTGGAATGTTTAAATATTGATGTTGGCATATTATCTGAATACCGACAATCATATTGTCCTTTAACTAGCTCGAATAAGTCATAACGTGAAATATGATACCACCGTCAATGTTTACAAACACCAATATCAAATTTAAATAACGATTCATGTACACATATATTGTCTCAGACGAGTAACCACGTATCAGAAACTTTTATTCTATATTTTTTTCTTTATTTTTACACGGTTCCATCATCTTACACTCGGTGTATTATAATCTGTATCCTGAAGAGGACTAATAAGGAAAATACCGAGTACCTTACCCTTAATTTATTATTAATTCAGTAAGTACGTTCCTTTTTCCTACGCAGGTGAATTTCCTGCTGACACAATTCACAGCACTGGTATTGGCCGGATTTTTAAGGACGTTCCTTAACCCATTCGCCGTAACAGCAGCCACCAGACATGTCTTTGGTCTCATCATTGGTCTCGCTCTTGGGTATTTCTGCTTTGGCAAGTAAGTCAGTCCGTGTCGTTGGACTTTAATTAATTGACCGAGAAGAAGTTTGACGAGTAAGAATAATGTCGTCGGGTGAAGTCATTAATCATTGAAATTATACAAGAGTGTTTACAATTATACACAAAAGGCCATGGGTTTTAAAAAAATTAATAGTTTGAGATAAATCGAGGAGGTTGAAATACCAATGTGTATTTATCAAGATTGCAGATAAATCTCAGTATCACTCGAGAGTTTTGAACGTATCAGAAGATGAGACGTTTACATGTCTCCATTCAGGTGCAAGTGGTCATGTTAAGCGCTTGATATGAAGATAAGCGGATATACAGTCTGTCGCACAAGTCTGCGTATACTCGTCTAATATGGTCGAAGTCGAAGTAAATTTACAATGTGTTCGTTATATAGCCATTCGAATACCAGATATTTAGAAAATATGAAATATAAAACATCTCTCGATTAATGAAAATATAGAAAACGAAAAATGTTGATGAATGAAACTTGTATATTGCAAAGTCTGTAGCTCCACCGACTGCAACTTCAATCATGATTCATGGCCAATCAAGGTTGCGTCGTTGTAGTTGCGGTAAGTGCTAATATTACGTCCCTATCCGCAAATACAGAGTTTAAGGGGATCAGAAGAAGAAAAGAAGCTTGCTATATTAATTCAGGTGATATCAGTCGAGATATTTCTGCAATGATCCGTCACTAGCATTTTTAAGTCGAGGTCGAATTATGTCACGGCCATTTTTAATTTATCAATGCCTTAAATCGAAACTACTGCATGGATTATTTCTTATCCAGGATTTGCTCTCACGCATTAATAAGAAAGAGTAGTTACGATTAAATGTAGAATTCTCTTTTATGTATAAACAATTGCAAACCTCGTCGTTATTAATTATGCAGTGTATAAAATCACCTGCACGAAGAAAATTTTTATTTTTATTATCCTTTCGATTAGATTTAAAAAAGTTAAGAGGAATCAACACGCCATGCTTTATGAATTTATATCTTTTTCCAGACAGACGATACACCTCGCGGGTCTCCCAGCATTATGTTACATAGTAATGCGAACACAGAATCCTCGCAATCTGCAGAGGCAAGTTACATGCAACCATACAATTATTCTGGTTACTATTGATAGAGCAAGTCCTTCCGTTTTGCGGACACGTAAATACGTGATTCAGAGATGGATAACATTTCATCTGAATAGTTAAATTCTCACAAATAAATTCTGGAGGACTTACTGTACTAATTATCATTGTATTAATTATCAGAACTTCGTTCGCTCGTAGAGTTCCATTTACGATAAGTAAAAATAGAATAGAGGAAGTAATAGTGCTTGACACTTTTTCTTATCGCTTCTAGGTACTGATAATGGCATAACTTACAGAAGTTAATTTTACAGGTTAATTATCTTTAATTTTACAATTTTAAAAAACAATATTATTTGTCATGTAACTAACGGAAATAGACATATGTCATCCCACATGATAAGAGAGGTATTTGTCCAACAAAAACAAAATTGTGACATTTTAATTTATGCTCCTATTAATGCCAAGAAATAATATACTACTCTCTCTTAACTCTAGCAAATCATAAATTTAATAAATAGTATAGTCTGGTAGAACTTAATATTTTTAAGAGCCTTTCGTTTCTCTCTTTATTTAAAAGAACTCGGGTTGGAAGGGGTTTAGTCGTCCAGCTTTCTCGGCTGCAGGATCAAATCTTAAACACAATAATACCTGGATCGATAGAGCATCGCATAGTGCAGTGCTCCTCTGACGTGCATTAGCCATACTATGCACGGTATTTCCGTATGTTTCTCCCCGTCTTCCATAAACTTCATTTACAAGAACGCGTACCCTGTTACGGCGCAGTAACACCGTTAAGTGAGAAGCCATCGTGAACACGTGAAAATCGCACTTGTACTCAACAATTTTTTTTCTACATGATCTACATGAAATCATCCCAACAAAAATTATTTTTGTATTATCCAATATATGTATAATAAACCCCCGGAAATAGATTTTCCATTAAGTAAATTGTTTTCGAAAAAAAAAAAAAAAAAAATGTTGAACGTAACTACGAATATCACGAATATCTTCTCTCCCTAAGATACTTTAGGCAAACATTAATTATTTAAAACTTTTCTGCAATTTTCCAAAAATTCAAGTTAAGTATCGATACCTATTCCACTGAAATTGGAAATCACTTTACCGTCTAGTTCCCGAGATACAACGTTCCAAAGTTGCGCGCTTTTCGAACGTTCCACTACTTCGAACAACTTTAATCATTTTGTTAATTTAGCGACACGCGCGTGAAAAATCGCGCGTTGATCGCGAGATATGAAACTCCGAAGCCTTTTCGCGTCTGTTGTCGTCATCCACGGTCGACGATCGTCCCTTGAACTTACTAACTCGTCTTGGTAACACGTTTCAGGGTTGTGCTGACGACCGCGTTGGCTTACTTATCATGCGTGCACTACCATCGACAGATGTACAATTATAGCTCGTATACGCTCGATATCACCGGTAAGTGTTGCTTGTCGTCTCCTGACGATCGTCACGAGTTCAGTTTCCGTCGTGTGTCTGTTTTGACATTCGATATTTGTGATTAAATACATTTCATTTCAATATATATTATGAGTTCCTATATGAATAAAAATAAGTCACTTAAAAGCTTGAACAACCTTCCTCCGAAATTCTCGTTGTAAAATTTCCCTTCTCATGCTCCAATCTTTCTTGGCTTTACGAATATCCACAGAGTACAATACAAATTTTTTGAAAAGGTAGAATAGATCCCCTCCCCACCCCCCGCCCCTCCCCCCCAAAGAAAAAGAAACAGAATACATGGCGAATTGAGTAACCTCCTCCATTTCAAAGTCGGTTAAAAATGTACGAAACTGATTATATGGCAGGACCGCTGATGGTGATCACACAGAAGGTGACCAGCCTGGCGTACAGCATACACGACGGCTTGACACGCCGCGAGGAGGAACTCACACCATCGCAGCTTCATCAAGCCGTGAAGTGAGTTGACGTCTTCCACTAACGGACGTTTATTCCGCTAGTGCACGATACCAGAAGGCAAAGAACGGCTACGCCGTTTCTTATGCGACATTTCATTCATATTCAAGAGCCGCCCCCTCGTCGTCGCGCGATGACTCAGGTCTAGCCGCTTCATTTCATCGTAGGCTGCGATAAAATCCATTATGCATGATTTATTTTAGAAAGATGCCGAGCACTTTGGAGTACTTTAGCTACGTCTTCCATTTTCAAGCTCTGATGGCCGGTCCGGTGATACTGTATCGTGATTACATGGATTTCATTCAAGGACACAACCTAAGTGGACGGAAAGCTCTGACGGTAAACACGATTGCAAACGTTTTTCTCTGTACAGGGCGATCTAAATTAAGCGGACCTAAGAATTTTCATTCGGAATTTTCAATTTACATTTCTCCATCGTTTTGAAAGTACCACCAGACAGTGAAACAATTTTTAAAAGATTCCGCCATAGAAACAACGTATTTGTTTAATATAATTTAAAAAAAATGGTTAAAAATATTTTTGTCTGCGCTGAAATAATTTTTATTTGATACTTCCATGTCTTCGCTATAAGCACGTGATACAAACTCGCACTGATCGACCGACCAAACCAAGACTGATCGAATGAATAGGTAAATTATGCTTCCAGGGCTGCGACAAAAGCTCCAGTCACTACGACGAGATAGTCCTGGAGCCATCCCCTACACCCGTCGTGATAAAAAAAGTCATAGTAAGCGTACTATGTGCCGCCATGTTCGTGACTTTCATTCCAACGTACTCGATTCAAAGACTGAAAGGTTCGATCCGAGCATCTGTTTGGTATTCATGCGCGCGTTTACTTTCTTGCTATGACGAAGCTATGTTTTCCTTTCAGAGAAAGAATTTTTAGAGAACACGACGGTAATCCAGAAGTTCTGGTACTTGATGATGGTTACGATGTTGGTCCGTTTCAAGTATTACCACGCTTGGATTTTTGCTGACGCGATCTGCAATAATTCAGGAATTGGGTACAACTGGTCTGCTAAAGACGGCGAAAACAACTGGAATCTGTACTCCAACGTCGATGTCGCTGGTTTCGAGGTATTCCTTCGTTATTGCTACTTAACACGTTGGGTGCCAAACTAAAACTGGTGAAAATTCCTATAAAGTTAAAATTTTATCATTATCAATTTTATTACCTTTGAAATTAATTTGTTTAGTTCCTTAATGGAAAGTCCTATCACCCATTTCTGGGTGACGCACAGTGTGATATTTCAGCGATCTAGCGGGACAAAACTTGTGTGATACAATATCTAAAAACAAAAAACAAAAAAAAAAATAAAAAAAAGACAGAAGCGACGTGCCTGCAGATGTAAACGAATTTAGAAATGATCTATTGTACGAAATTATTTTAATTTTCAGTTGTCCGTGAGTTTGAAGGACAGTATCGATAGTTGGAACAAAGGAACCACAAAGTGGCTGAGGTATATCGTATATGAAAGAGTCAAATCCAATAAAATTTTGTGGACGTATGCCCTTTCCGCTTTGTGGCACGGGTTCTACCCCGGTTACTATATGACGTTCGCTAACGGAGCCTTCTTCACCATGGTATCGAGAATTGTAAGTCGATCGCGAGTGAATAACCCCACATAAAATAGTATATCGTATATAAAACATTATTCCTTATGAAAATACAATTCATGGTTGATAAGCTTCCATTTCTTATTCCGACAGAGTCGTCGCAACATTCGCCCGTACTTTTTAGGGTCCAAAAGTAAAAAGTTCCTTTACGATGCGCTTACTTTCACTGCAACACGAATTACGATGTCCTATATAGCTTTCAGCTTTGTACTCTTGGAATTTATGCCAAGTATTCGAGTGTACCTGTGAGTAACTCCAAGGAGAAATATTTTCCGTCTAAACTATACGCGATATGATAACGTGTTTCCATTTTTGTTTTTTTTTTTTAGGTTTTTATACCTGATCCCACATTTAATGGGCCTAGCTATAATAATCGTCGCACCACGTCTTCCGAAGATTCCACCGCACACAAAGGTCGCCGATAAGGGACCAAACGGTTCTCAGGAATTAGTCAACGGGAATGCGCGCAAAATCATGTGAAATCTATTTCAACGCGACCGAACGGTCACGAGAGAAACATATTTTTTATGAATGTTTTACTATACATCTAAATATTATGTATATATTATATAAACACGCGCACATATATACGTACGATATTTATTGTTATGAAGTGTTAACGATACAGATTTTATGTCGAGCGTGTAAAGAGTATAGTTGTTTTATATAATGTGAGTGAATAATATCGTATATTTATGAGTGTCTCGTGTATATGTTAAGAAAGGAGACCGTTTGCCGTTTAATGTTCGCCAGCAAATAGAAGAGACCTGGCAAAGCTGCAGATTTTATTGTTCGCGCGAATACACGATGATCATCTTTAGCATTTTTATGTTCCTTTTCCTCCCTCCCCTTTTCTTATCGCGGTGTTGCCGTAAGTATTATTAATAGACTGTAACATTTACTTAGGACATATTACACAGTTTTAATTATGAGAGTTGATGACCGATTTTACAGTTTTATACTTTTCGTATCCGCAATAATATCGTTATTAATTTTAAATAAATCTGAATATTTATTTATCAACCATTATTCTTAAATATTTTATTGACGGCAATAGTGCTTATGAATCGATAACAGAAGATTAGATATTTTTCGGAAATGAGACTAATCTTCAAGACCCATTACATAAGTATGAATTTAAACTAGTAATGTAGACTCGTGATATATATGCTATATTTTTATAATACTGCTTTGAAACGCGAATAATCATTTTACTGCGTGATTTTATAGATTTCTAAAAGAACTTAAACACTTCTAAATTATTGATAACTTAACTTGCTACATTCGATTACTGTTCGGACGTTAAACTTATTAAATAAAGCTTCAATGTGTAGGTAAGTAATTTATTACCCTTTTGGTTATTTCTAATAAAGGATTAGAGAATTTACCGAACTTTGCATAGCAGGTTAATTTTAGCAAAATAGTTGTATATCGAAATATAAATTCGCTGATAAATTCGATTTATTGCTCCTTTGGTTATCGTTGATAATATGTTATTAGATGAGTATTTATTGGACCATACAGAACAGCTTAACAAGCTTATTAAGCTATTTGGTATGGTCCAATAAATACTCATCCAATCGTTATAATGTTTGACCGCTCACCTTGGACCTGCATAAAGAGTTAAACACGAATTCTGTATAATAAACTGAAAACTGGAACTGAAAAATGACTTTTAAGTTTTTATTCTTTATTTTTGAATCTAAACGTCGGATGAATAATCCGTAAAGGGTTGAGTACTTAAGAATAGAAAAATTCGACGAAATAGGGGAGTCTCATCGGTAAACAAATGTTTATTATGTTAAAATCACGCTGGTGCAGCGTGCCATCGCGCGAAATCCGTTTCGTCGCGATGTCATCATCCTCCACGTGCCAGCGTCGTCACCGCGACGTTTCGAATAACTATAGCCGCAGCATGGGCATTCACTGATGCTTTTCGCGATTATTTTCACTCGCTGCCTAATGGAATACCGTCCTCATAATCGGGTAAAGAGAAGCACCGAAACTGTTCAGCACTCCCGAAGCCTTATTAGACAGGGTGCCGGCGGCCACTTGGCTGGTAGAATCCTTAGTGTGATCATCGCGATCGAACCGCGACGATCGCGAGTCACCGATAGATAGATACGCGCTCCTTCGATCCAAGGAATATCATGGTAATTTGATTCGTCGATCCGTTGAACGGTGGATGTGCAAAGGACAGTGAAAAAAGTTAGCAATTTCAAGTTGTAAAAACGAAAATTGTGCTCGATTTCTGTTGTCTGGCGCTTAGAGATCGGTGTTTAGGTATATAGAGTGTGTTTGGATATTGAACGCAATGAAAGTATCGAAATTGGAACCTTTGTTTGCTGTAGAATATATAGGGAATGATGTGTAGGTGATGCGGGGGACAACAATTGAAAATCACTAGCAACGACGGAATAATACTTGTTCGACTCGATTGCTTGAGCACCTTCAAGGAATTGCACTTTGGGGTGATGAACTCGTGAACTCTTCAATGGCCTTTGCACGCCCAAGAATACGGTGTTAATTATTTAGTTTCGTAGACAACTATTTTCTACTATTATATTTATGAAGCACAACAAAATGTTACTTCTCTTAGCGAAAAATCCCAACGCTAAATTGTCCAAAAGACTTAACCCAAGTTTGTATTTCGCAAACGAAGATTGATTGATTCGCAGAATTTGGCAACGATGGTGAGACTGGGGTACGTTATGGTGATCGTCACACTGATTCTAATGACGTGGGCGTCCGTGGTCAGGATGCATGAATTGCCCGTGCAGTATCCGCCGTGCTTCTTCAACCCCCTGTGCACTTGCTCGAAAGCCATCCCCGATCTCGGTATAGTCACCTGTTACAACGTTCCCATGCCGCGGATACCTCAGCCAATCAACTCCTCGAAGGTGTTCATGCTGCAATTGGAGAACAATGGACTGATGTTTCTGCAGCCGCAATTTCTCATGAACACAGGTACCAAGAATGCCACAAACTCGATTACCACATTTAACTATCACATTACTACTCAATTACAACATTAATTTATTCAGAGAAGAATCGATTTCTGTAAAAAGGATGCAAGGTTCCATTTAAAAGACACAAGTGCAAATACATACGTTGAAACTGCACTAATGCATCCAAATAAAAAATATTCCTTATCAATTATTTATCAAAGATATATTTCTTTTCCATCATTTTCCTCTTATTTGGATCATTTGTTGGTAAAGGACCTGCAGTTTATACCAGGGTGCCAGAATCTCTCAGTACACTGATCATTTTAAGAGATTACCGTGTAGGAGCATAAGGAAATAGGGGTTAAAGGGCATCGGCCGGCCGTCATCGATTACGTTACAGACAAACGATACGTGGCAGTTCAGTTTTCACGCACACGGTGCTCCCCTATCTCTCAGGTCTCTACAACCTACGGATCAAGCATAATCCCCTGGCCGACATCCCGGACGAAGCTTTCCTAGGGCTTGAGAGATCGTTATGGGAGCTCGAATTACCCTACAATCGCCTCGAGAGGGTGCCCAGCAGGTCGTTCAGGCATTTGCAGAAGTTGCAACTTCTCGATCTGACAGGTACTTCCTCTTTCGATACCTTCGATGTCCTCCTTCGTAGCACGACTCGAGGAGGGGCCAATTTATCTTAAACTGATTTTTAACATGTGGAAAATACGACAGAAACACATAGAATTATATGCAATTATACAGTCAGTCGTATATTTCATAATATTTCATTCTATATAATTGCATATAGTTTTACATGCTTCTATTGCATTTCAGAATATATAGAATATAACATTTATGGAATGTGACATTTTTACACAATGAAAACATAAAAATACAATGCAAAATCGTCTGAAGTTGTTAAATTTTCCAACTTTGATGTATTAGTTAGAAACACCATCTAACATTGCTTCCTCAAACCAGAAACATATTTCCCTTTTGATTTCCCTGATTATTAGAGCCTAGTAATTTGAACAACTCCTTGCAACAATACCTTCCCCCTATGAGCTCCACGTGGAATGCACTCGTTACCTCGACAGGCAACAAGATATCCAAGATAGCATCGGATAACTGGCGAGGCCTGGAGAATTCTCTGCAGAAGCTGCGACTGGGGCGAAACGCTATCGACAGACTTCCAGCTGACGCGTTCGCTGGCCTCACGTACTTGGACATGCTCGATCTGAGGGAGAACAACCTGAAGGAGATCGATCCTTCGGTGTTCAGGGACGGCATGGCTCATCTGGTGCATTTCTACCTAAATGGAAATCAACTGCCCAACATCCCCTACTCGCAGCTGTCGTCCTTGAAGAGAATAAAGATCCTCGATCTGAGCTACAACAGGATCTCCAGGATGCTGAACCCTCAGCAGGAGCCAGAGATCAGGGGGCTTCAACTGTCCTTGGATACTCTGAGGCTGGACTACAATCAGATCGAAGTTCTCATGCCTGGCGACTTTCAGCACTTTTTCAAGGTCAACAGGACTTACCTCGACGGGAATCCTCTGACCTTGATCGAGGTAGGGTTGAAAGTGAAAGTCACACTGTTGATGCAAACATATACATACATATATTAAAATGATAATAATAAGTGAAAGTACTAAAAAGAAATGTAATTAATGATTTCTAAGTATCGATGAATGCGTCGAAATGGTAGTATTTATCATTAATCAAAGACTCTGATGAAAAGTAGCTGAAAATTTGAACGATGCGCTTCAGGAGGGCGCATTCAGGGACTCGAGGATACGAGAACTCTACTTCACCGATTGCGACCTAATGGATGTCGATTCCGCGGACTTTGCAGGCCTGGAATCGTCCTTGGAACTGCTAGATCTCTCTGGAAACAATATCACCGCTCTTCCGAGCCCCATCTTCCAGGAATACGATTTTCTGCGGACTCTCAGTTTCCGCGAAAACAAGATCCAGACCTTCTCTCCAGGTAAGATGAAAAATCCCATAATGTATCCTACTATCCTACTGCCATTTCAATCATCATTTCATTCCTATTGGTTCGTACATTCAATAGACACTTCTTTCTTATGGCACACTCGATTATTTTCGCTGAATTATTTTCGAATGAAGTTTGGTTATTTGACGTTCCTACTACTAATAATAATTATTATTTCTTGATTTTTTATAAAGGACGAACACATGTTCGATATAAAAGTATTTATTTGAGTGTGTATATACATACGTGCATAAACGTGTGTATACGTTCTTATAATTTGACGTTTATTTACGAAAGATGTGTATACACGAAACTGATAAATGAAACCTTGATGACGAAAGATACTACGCATAGTGTCTAAAATGTTCAATTGCGAATTACGTATTTGTATGTGTTGTAAATTCGACACAGTACTATATTTATTTGCTGATTTACTTGATATGTTTGGTTGACAACGCGTTATCAGTGGAGGTGTTCAACGGTTTCCAATACTCCCTGTACAATCTGGACCTGAGCGGGAAGGAGAACAGCGTGGTGTCCCTTCAGGATCTAAGACAGATGAGGAACATGCGATTCCTTTCGATCTCGAGGATGCCACAGTCGACACTATCCCCGGAGGATTTCATGGAGTACGGAATGGATATCAAGGAGCTTCACATCGTTAAGAGCAATTTGAACACCATCAAGAGCCACGCTTTCATGCACGTTCGAGGGATCAAGTACCTAGATTTCTCAGAGAATGCCATCTCATCGATAGAGAACGAGGCCTTCTCGGAGGTAATTCCATCGCTTTTCTTCAATTTTACTTGAGAAAAAGAAAGTTACTTTGTTCCATTACGTCTCGACGCGACGAATTCATCAAATCCAACCGTTGAAG